GGGAGCGCGAAACATGCTGGTGTAAACGCGGCGTGTCGCTGGTGAGCGGGGCGCGGTATCGTGTGATAGGATTGCTTCTATGGATTCTATGGGTCACGGGCATTCTGGGGGATCCAATGTACGTTCCGTGCAAGAACTGTGGGACAAAGGTTGACCCGGTCACTGCATTGCAAGCGCCGCGCACAGCAGGGCTGCCAAACCATCCGCGAAGAAGAATCGTTTTGGCTACTGTGACCTCGGCTGATCACACAGGAGAACTGGATCGGGTGTTGGTTGACGGGGATCGGTTGCAGTTGCTGGCCAATGTGAAGAGTAAGGCTGAACTGCTCACCCTCTTGATGAGGTCCGCAGGCTGTCTGCTTTCGTCACCCGGCGGATGTGCGTCTGGCTACCACTGGCCGCAAACCTGGGGGCGGCAAATCCAATGTACCAGTGGCTACGCAGGGGGTTCTTCAGGAAACCGAGTCTGCCAGCGCTGCGCTGCCGTTGCATCTGCGCATCTACGTCTACACACCCTCACCCCTGCACATTTACATCGCCACACGCTCACATCCGCAGATCTACCTCTCTAAACCTCCACACACCCACACATCTGCACATCCATATCACACCTGCACATCCACACTGTCACTCCTTCACATCTGCCCTCTCGTTCTCTCTTTCTACATATCTTTTCTCTTAATATGTTAAATCTAATTTCTTCGCAACTTCTTACTCAATAACAGATTGTATAAAGAAGTCATGGCTCTTGGACAACTCGATTTTAACTTGCTCGGAATTGCTTGACAATCACCTTTCTCGCTCTCGGGCCAACCGTCGTCTAGTTTAAAGTTTTCACGGTGTCTTTTGGAATCATAGGCACTCTACGCTTGCAGCCGTTTGAGCGCCCCTTCCAAGCGACACACCATTTCTTCCAAGATCCATCGTTGACCTGACCCACTGGCATTGGAAGCTGTCCAAGTTTGCACAAACAAAAGGCTGAAACAAAAATATATTCACATCAAGCGACAAAACGAATGCGGTTTGCGTTTGCAAGCACAAGCACTGCTCGGGAGCGCACCTTGGACTTGTGGAAGAAAACTTCATTGAAGCGTCTTCCGAGGTCATTCACCTGCTCACTTGCGGCAGGCGTTGTTCATACAAGTTGGGGGGCCATTTAATGCCATTGGGTCAGGCTGGCGCATATACCCCACACAGCGTTACGGGTTCGCAGTGACTTTCATGAGTTTCGGCGTGAGGATTTAACAGGACCAAAAAACCTTGAATTAAGGATTGACCAAGGGCAGAAAAGTTGAAATTGAAAATTAGAGCGCTTGGATTCCAAAACCAGGCAGGGAAACACAAAGCACACGAACGCTGCGCAAAAATAGACGCCATGTGTCATGTCGCGAATGACCTACCGGTACTAGCATACTGGTACCCAACATGCATCAAGATGCTGTTGCCGGAGCCCGCAAGTTTCTCTGTAAACCAGGGTATGCCCCGGCCTTCACAAACTAATTCGGCTTGCTGCTGACTTATCCTCTGTTCCCCGAGTCCCCGAGCCCATAAAACGTTTCAACCGGCAAGCTGCACTGAGAAGCACGAGGGCAACTACAAACTGACAAGCAACCAACTGGGCGGTTCAAGGCTTGTTTCCTGCAGCGCGGGCTGACCAGGCCGCGGGCGAACAAAAATTATCCCGGCAAGAGACCCCAAACAGTGCGCGTGAGGTCTGTAAGCAGAAAGTCTAGAGCGCATTGGGGTCCAGAGAGGTGATGCTGGTGATGAAGTGAAGGTGGGTGTGTGTGTGTGTGAGTGTGAGTGAGAGTGGGTGAGAGTGAGAGTGACACTCTCACTCTCACTCTCACTCTCACACTCATCTCACACACACTCACCTTCAGTCCCACTCATACTCACACTCACTCTCACTCACACTCACTCTCCCACACTCACTCTCACTCAGACTCGCACTCACTCACACTCACTCTCACTCTCACTCTCACTCTCACTCACACTCACACTCGCACTCACTCACACTCACTCTCCCACTCTCACTCACACACACACTCTCACTCTCACCCACACTCACTAACACCCACCTTCACTCTCACTCATGCTCACTTACACTCCACGCTTTAATGGGGCCACGTCCCATCGTCTACAGCACTTTGCAGGGTCTGAGTAGGCGCTCTAATCTCTCGATCTCAGTTTTTCGGCACCTGGTCAAGTCTAGATCAAGGCTTTCAGGCCACGTGCCCAAATTCATGAAATCCCTGCGAACCTGCAAGCTAACTGCCAAGCAACCACCCAGCAGGAGTCCCGCGCCATGATCAAGCTAAAATCTGCAGAACATCACGGTACCTGTCTAGTGTCTCCCTATACATAGGCGTCGCCAAGTTTTTACCCGTGATTTTGGTCCTTGATTGCAGGAGCTTTTGCAATCTCAGGCTGGAATTCTTGAAACCAGTTTTGGCAATCATTGAAACGAATCGGACGCCCATCTTCTTTTGTTTCTGTCCGCCCGCAACTTGGTCAGCCCATTGTTACGGGAAATTAGCCTCGACACACCCGTCACGAAAGAAACCAGCCCCGAAATGAATATTCCTTGTTGGGCAGGATTCATTCTGGAGAATGGTGGAGCATTCGGAGCCAAGACAAAAACAAGATGGAGCCCACGAACCCGAATGCAAACACGTTCCATATGCCCAAATGATAGTCTTGACGGACACTCTTCTGGGACACTCTTGTGGGATACTCTTGTCGGACACTCTTGTAGGAAACTCTTGTGGGTCACTCTTGTAGGACACTCTTGTGGAGCACTCTTACAGGACACTCTTGCGGGACACTCTTGTGGGACACTCTTGTAGGACACTCTTGTGGGACACTCTTGTAGGACACTCTTGCGCGTCACTCTTGTAGGAAGCTCTTGCGGGGCACTGTTTTGGGACACTCTTGCGGGACACTCTTGTAGGACACTCTTGTGGGACACTCTTGTAGGACACTCTCGTGAGTCACTCTTACGGGGCACTTTTGTAGGACACTCTTGTGGGACACTCTTAAAGGACACTCTTGCAGGTCACTCTTATGAGACGCTCTCTTGCGGGACACTCTTGTAGGACACTCTTGTGGGTCACTCTTACACGACACTCTTGTAGGACACTTCTTGTGGGACACTCTTATAGGACACTCTTGTGGGTCACTCTTATGGGACACTCTTGTAGGACATTCTTGTGGGACACTCTTGCGAGACACTCTTGTAGGACACTCTTGCGGGTCACTCTCTCAGGACACTCCTGCAGGACACTCTTGTGGGACACTCTTGAGGGACACTCTTGTAGGACACTCTTGTGGGACACTCTTGAAAGACACTCTTGTGGGACACTTGTAGGACACTCTTGTAGGACACTCTTGTAGGAAACACTTGTAGGACACTCTTGTGGGTCACTCTTGTAGGAAACTCTTGTGGAACACTCTTACGGGACACTCTCGTGGGATACTCTTAAGGGACACTCTTGTAAGACACTCTTGTGGGACACTCTTATAGGACACTCTTGTGGGTCACTCTTATGGGACACTCTTGTGGGACACTCTTGTAGGACACTCTTGCGAGACACTCTTGTAGGACACTCTTGTGGGTCACTTGCCGGAGACTCTTGTGGGACACTCTTGCGGGACCCTCTTGTAGGACACTCTTGCGGGACAGACTTGTGGGACACTCTTGTGGGACACTCTTGTAGGAAACTCTTGTGGGACACTCTTGTAGGACACTCTTGTGGGACACTCTTATGGGACACTGTTGCGTGGCAGGCATAGCACTTGGTGAACCTCGAAGTGCAGATTTCGTGGCAGGCACAGCACTTTGTGAACCTCGTTGAGCAGATTTCGTGGCAGGCGCAGCATTTGGTGAACCTCGACGCGGAGAGTTCGTGACAGGCACAGCAGAGTGTGAATTTGTTCACTTGATGCGTGCTCTGGTGACTGTGCTCTCAGATGCGTGCTCAGTCTGCGGCTCCGCGACACATTTTTTGCCCGCCTGCTCTACTCGACGAACAAAGGTGCGCTTGGCGATTGCTGCCTTTCAACCTGTCTAATTTGTACTCTTACATTGGGCATTTCAGCCTTGCACTTTTCTTTCCTGTGTCTGGACATTTCCTTTCGACATTTCACCCTTCTGTTCCCCTTCAATGCTGACCTTCTACTTCGTGCTCGCGGGTGCTACTCTCCCTGCTTCCCTTCGCTTTTACTTTCTCCTCCTTCGCGCTCGCAGGTGCTTCACTTCCTCCTGCTACCCCTCATACACACTCCACACTGTTTGGGGTCTCTTGCCGGGGTATTTTTCCCGAATGCGTAGCGAAGGGTTCCTGGGGGTCTGGGGGTAGAGCCTTGTTCGCGACCCGTTGTTTCTATGTTTGCAACCGTCCGCAACCGTTCGCAACCGGATGCAGTAGAGCGCTAAGGCGCTGCCATTGGGGGAAGCTTTTGGAGAGGGCTTCGGATGGAAACGTGACGTGTCAGATTCGTGTGAAATAGCGAGGAATCGTGTGGAGATGTAAGATGTTGAAGTGTGGAGGATGATTTCACTGCGCAGGCGCAGCGTTTTGTGAGATCTGCAGTTTGCTGCGCATTTCGTGACAAGTCTCAGCTGAAATGGGGATTTTGGTGGGTGGGAGTGTGCTCAGAACGGATCGAAATCATTCCAAACGTGTGGTGGGGTGCAAATTTTGTTGAAGCTCACATGAGATGATATTGTCACTTTTCGTTGCAGGCGCAGTACTTTGTGCGGGTTTGAGGTGTGGAAGTGCGATTTTCGTGGCAGGCGCAGGGAATCGTGAGGTTGTGAGTTGTGGTAGAGGTGAATGTCGCTGTCACATTGGGATTGGCGTGTGAGCGGGCGTTGTTTGGAGGGGCAGGAATCGCGAAACTGCTTGGCAGGGCTGCGTGATGTGTGTGCTCCGATGGGTGTTTCCGCTTGACTTTTGGAGGAAGTCTCGTACGAAACGCTCGTTTTGCAGACTTTGACATGTGAGTTTTTGAGCAAGTCTTGTACGAAACGCTCGTCTTGGAGACTTGACGTGTGACTTTTGGAGGAAGTCTCCTACGAAACGCTCGTTTTGGAGACTTGACGTGTTGGAGTGCGAGCCCAGAACAATGTTTGGGGAGCTAGCACAGTCAAACGCAGCAGCCCAACCAAGTCGCAAGGCTCCCACCTGCCGCAAGGCTCCCATGTCGCACTCGCCGTGTTCGCGAAGATGGGATATCACTTCTTCTTCGAGGTCCATGGCCTCACGCAAAATAGTCGGCATCCAGTTCAGCTGAATCCTTCGGTTTCAATCTGCTGGGATTTGAAACATCTTGTCAACTGAAAACCGTGTTGGCTGATGTTGGCTGCATCGGTTTTGGCTCTTTAGCAGTCTCACACCGTGTAGAATAGACAGCCACCTCAGCTGAGCCCAAGCCATGTGGAGGATCGAAGAATCCGTCCTGGGTTGGTCGAAGATGTATGCCATACCCTGTTCGCCATGTCAGAAGTCGGAACCTGCCACGCCATATCCTGTTCGCCATCAGAAATTGTGGCTCTATCGGCTCCACGGTTTTTGCGGCCACCTGCACCAGAAATAGAACAGTGCTCACTGAGCATTGTGCATGTCGCTACACTCCCTGGAACTAACATGGAAGTGGAGAATGTTTCCTCTACAAACAGGTGGTTTTCCACTTCCATGTTAGTTCCAGGGAGAGTAGTTCTGTTTGTCTTTGCAAAGGGCTCAAATGGCAAGGAATGAGGAAACATCGTCAAAGACTAGCTCGCACCAATCTTCTTGCACGTATTATGTAGAAAAGACACCGGCAAGGAAATTTATGGCAGAAAGCCTCGTGTGCCACGGGTGGTTCGCTTCGCATGCGGCAAGGATATCTGCACAAATGGCGGCTGAAAGAGACAAGACTCGTGATCGATCATCTGTGAATTTGTCGTGAAATTTTGTCATCAAATGAAAGATTTGGGACTCTGGCCGTATCTTTCGCAAATCAAGGTCATCAAAGGTACAGTATGACATGCAGTTCATCTGCCGTTCTGATGTCAACCAACTTTGAATATACAGGAGGGTGTGCGTAAAAATGTGTTCTGGATCTTGGCAACTAGGATCGTCAACTGCAGCCGACAAATGAAGCAGGGCGCACCATGCACTTGTTCCTGTCGAAAAGAGCGCTTGCCTCAAAGCCTGCTCCAAGCAGCCACCTGCAAAAACGAATTCCCATTGCTCTTCTGATGCATGTAATGTATCCTTGCCTATAGATGCACAGCACAAGAAAGAAGGGGGTCTTCGGAGTGCATGATGATGCTAGAATGCGGAGACGAGCAGAGGGGGCTCGGAAATAGACATAGAGACATAGATGCAGAAAAACACGTGGGCAACAGTAAACTGCAAGCCTAGCACCCTAGCCAAACTGAAACCAATGCCATAAACATGTTTTTTTGTTGAATGACATTTCGACAAAAGTTGATAATGCCAATCATGTAAAGTCAAGGATCTGCATCACTTGCATAATGGTACTGTGAGATTGTCAAGTCAGCATCCTCTGACAACTTAAGTATATATAAGTATATAACTATAAGTACAACTTATATATACTTATATACTTATATATTCTGTTGTACTTTGTGGTGCGGCTTGCTGTGATGGCTTCAAACGTGTCAGCTCTCTGACCCTGCTACCTCACGTGGCTTCTATTCCACAAGTCTTCAAGAAGCGTTTCAATGGTTGCGCTATCTTCCACTTGTCTGACTCCAGCTGGCCACATGTCACTGGTCCGTTACAACCCTGCATTACACAACAGGGACCCAGGGCAGTGTAAAGGGATGACTCAAGGGAACAGGTCAGGCCAGGTTCTGCCCAATATTGAAATCAGAAAAAACGAAGAATGAAGATCACTCGGGATGACTTCACAATTGCATCTCATGTACCTGGCTATCCAAATCAAACCGCTGTGTGCACCTCTTGAAGCTGCCGTCGTTCTTCTTGTCCTCGGACTGGCGGTGTGCCAGCCGCGGCCAGTAGGTACTAGCTGTCTTAGTGGCAATCGGTACACATTCCACCAAGCTGGAATGGAAAACTCTTTTTGAAAAGAAAACCTGCCTTCTATATAGATGGTAGGACGCCAATGTCCAATTCTCGAGTAGCAGCAACAGGTGGTGAGATGTCGCAGTACTAGCAGTAGCAAGAAAACTGATGGTGGTCCTGGTTGTGCAAATAAATAGTCTTCAGCCAAGAGACCATGCTGTATCCACTTCTGGGATTTGATCGCACCTGGGTCGCAGCAGTCTGGCTCGCTGAGCAGCTCCACCCAACCAGACTGTAGGGAGAGGGCCACAGCATTGAAGCGGCCAGCGAACATCGATGCAAGTTCCTGAACCTGCAACAGGACTCGCAGCACTTGCCATGGACATCTGAGAATCCTGGTGAAATGCTTCAAAACACTGGCCTCTTTGGGGCCATCACCGAGAAAGCTCGTGACGCTCTCCAAGAGTCGTTCCTTTGCTGATTGCGAAGTTTCAATCCACGTAAACCGTGTTGAAATTGCGATTAATCTGCAAGAGCATTACAGAATTGCAATTGTGGATAAACTCCAAAATGAAACCTACAATCAATTGGCTCAATTGGATGTATGCTGAGTTGTATTGTATGTGTGTATATGCACACATCCATTTTACTAGACCCTTTTGTATTGCAGAGGGTCTGATTATTGAGACCCGAACCAGCAAAGTTTTAGGTGACTTGTTGTAAGAAATTTGTGGTCAAGGATGATGTCGTTCAATATCCCTTTGTACTCAGATGATGTGTGGGCAGGGATCAGGACCTTGATTGTATGCCGGGTGGGCGGAGACCACGTTGATGTCCGTTAATTGTCGTCACTTGCGAGGGACTTCTCAAAGGAGGGTGTATGCACAAAGAAAGTCTGCTCACTGGAATCGTTACTCTCAAGCTGCAACCAAACTTTTGCCGGGAGGTAACCAGACTAACATGACCCGTCAGGTTCTTTATATACTGCTTCAAAAAGAAAACAGTAGACCAATAAAATGCCAGATTTGCAAATGCTACAACCCTTTGAACCGAAGCGATTGCTTGAGCAGCACGGCTCCACAGTTGGTTACTTCTCAGTCTCACACCTCTGAGTCGCCATCCCAGTTTTCCCAAGCTGTGTCTTCCCAATCCTCGGATCGTGATGTGACTTACACTCAAAGACAGGACACAGTGGTATGTCCACATGCACAAACATAGTAACCCCATGGTATTTGTTCTCCTTTCAGTACACAGTGAGAAGAATTCTGGTGCCTCATCATAGTCATAGGTTTCAATTGCTCGGGCTCGTCGGCCTGAGTCCAAATCTGATCCGGTGTTGCTTTACAATCGTTAACCCACAAATTAGATCATAGCATATGTATATATATCACCAAGCGCAACTGATCTCCAAGAAGAAACGTGGCCAGTCTTGCGCAAGGCCGCTGACCTAAAACACAAAAGAAACCCCAAGGGCGGACAAGCGTAGCTCATCCAAATTTGCAAAGGAAGCAACTAAAGGAGAGGAACCTGCCAACACGCCAGCGTTCTGCCGGCCCCATGGGCAAAAATGCGAACAAGATGCACTAAGGCATCATCATCTAAGAACACGAGTGCGCCTCGTATGGGGCCTTGTGGCAAGGTTTTCCCTGCGGCTTTCGCGAGGGCAGCACAAAGCGTTCCGGGGAACGGTTGCGCAGTTTCACTTCGAGCGAAAAAGGCGATGGCTCGCCGAAGCTTGGCATGAAGGTCAAAATATGTGGTGAGCTGCGGGTCTCCCTCAAAGGTCCATCCATTCTGGTGGAACAGGACGGTGAGTTCCGAAATCGAAGTTATTGCATCAGGATCACTCTTCCACCGTAAACTTCGCAAGAAACGGCACACAGTTTGCCAGTCACTAGGCGTGCCGATCCACTTGGCCGGTTGAGGAACATCATGGGGTGTTTTCGGCTTCCACGGAAACGTATAAACCTTGCTGCTCCAGGGCCAAAGTGGAAACAACCGCTGACAGTGCGCAACATCAAGATCATCATTTGCAGGGCATTGAGTGTCCTCGCAGCAGCTGGAATCTGTTGGCAGCAGCGAATGGAGGCGTGCAAGCCACTGCTGGTGTTGCAGACAGCCAAGATCAGCTTCACGTTGCACGGTAACTGATGCTGGAGCAATAGCAGCAGCATACTCTTTAGCAACAAGATCAGCCTTTCGGTTCCTTGCAATGTGACGCACTGTGGCTTTGCGCGTCTGGGCGATTTGCTCTGAAATGGAATCACTTGGCATGTGTTCAAAGCAATCTGCTGGAATCCACTGAGCTTCGAACGGCTGTGGGTGTGTTTGAAGGCGGTGTTGCGTCAACTGTGCCAAGCACTTCCACCAATCTTGACATAGCCAGCTGTCATCAACACACCCTGTTGCAAAAACATGTTGCGCGTGGACCACGACGCTATTGCAGTCACAGAAAATCCTGATACAATGAGGGCTGAGTAGGCAGGCTTGCAGGACTCCCCAAAGCTCCGCAACGTAAGAGTTCAAACATGGATAACTGACCAAGCCCTTGGCGCGTACTTGCATGTCAGCGTCGACAACAGCAAAACTGGCTGTAGTGATCCAGAACCGTTCGCTCCACAAAACGGATCCATCGGTCCAAAACTCATCAACTTGGCATGGATCAAATGCTGGGAAAGAAGATGGCGCTTTGGTGAGTACAAGCCTGCGTCTGGCCAAAAAGGTAGGCTGCTTCCAAGCTCACGCAGTACTGGAGCACCGATAGCTTCATGAAGAGGCTTGCGTTCATGGACCAAATGGTCAAGGCACTCCTTAGCACCGTTGCAGAAACGGCACTGACTGGTCTGGGACCACCCTGCGGCTGCAAGCCTATCGTTGGTAAGAACACAACCGACAACAACCGATTGGAACCGCAGTTGTGTGGAAAGATTATTCAAGTGCATCTGTTGTTTAGAACGAAGGAGAGTGGTAGTACTCCAGTGGTCGAACAGGCCAGCAGGCTTGCAAAAATCCTTACGTGTACGGAAATCAACACTCGTGTAGGCGGCTTGTCGAGCGAGCTGCTTGAGCAGGGGCCGAATTTCACGTGGTTGAAGTGAGTTCGAGATGGTGACATCCAACGCTTCACGCGCAGATCGAACTCTTGACCATAGAGAATGCGGCAGAGACTTTGAGGGCGTGAACGTGTCTTGCGTCAAGGGCATAAGCTCGGGACTACGTTGACAGCATCGGACAAACTCTTGAAGGGTGGTAACAGCACAGGCAAGGACAGGGTCGGTCCGCTGCCGCTGACCAAGGACCGCCTGAACAAGCCATTTGGCTCTCCATTTGGGTTTTCCAGCCCACAAGGCACGAATGACAGCCCCCTGGATTTGGGACATCTCTTTCTTGGGGATTTGGGAAATGTGTGCCCCAAAGGTTAACCTAGCAATCGCTTTGGCCCCAATCAGCAAATTCTTTACACGCAAAGGTATGGCCAGGGCACCGATGTGATCGATGTCAGCGTACCATGTCAAAGTGAAAGGCTTTCCGATGGCTGGTGTACATCTGAGTCCCAAGCACCTCAAACTCAAGGTCAACTGTCAACTGGAAACGTGGGAAAGGAAAGTCTCAAGGCAGTACGGCCTTTGGCATGAGAAGACCACATGGAGGACTTAGTGGGATTGAAAAGTTGCCCAACCAGCTGATCCCAAAGTTCAGTGATACGCAAGGCTTCATCAAGGGCCGAAATGTTAATGAGTTTGCACCATAGGTACGAATCATCAACAAAAGCACGAGCGCAAATCGATGGCAGGTGTTCGAGAAGGTGATACCAGACTTTGTTGTACATGTTCATCGCAAGCAAAGAAAGACTGCATCCCTGCGCAACACCATTCGGGGCAGTGGTGGGGATTGGTCGAGCCCACCCACGATAAGTGAGGTGACGGTGTAGCCCTTGATAGATTTTGAGGAAGAAATTGACAAAATGCTTGGGGGCCCCAAAAGTGAGCAACAAGATGGCGACGAAGGCAGGTACGATACGGTCGAATGCCTTGGATTTATCGAGTTTAACACCAATGATGGGGTCCGACAAGGCGCAAAGAATGTCTCGACTGGTTCGAAGCAAGCAACAGGTAGCGCTTGGAGTTCACACGTCCGCCACCCATCTAGTCCAGGCGCTGCTGCAAGCTTCCGGCGTTGGACTGTGTCAAAAAGCTGCTGGCCCGTAATCCGGCAAATGAAGCTGAACAGACTTGTCGTGGATCTGTGGCCAAACAGTTTCAAGAACCTTAAGAGGTTGTTCACACAGAATGTTAGCCGAAAAAATCGGGTCCCATGCATGGTTGATCTGATCCAGGGCAAGTTCAGGCAAGATTAGGCGGTTGGTCCTCTGTGCGGTTTTTCAAGTGCTGGTAGATGTACTGGTAGTTGCCTTGCGCAGACTGTGAAATTCTCTGTTTCCATCTTTTTATCCGGCTTAGGCGGAATTGAGCATCAAGCAGCTTCGCCGCAGATTCGGCCCATTGTTTAGCTAGGAAGACATGGTCGGCAGGGTGGTGCCAGCAAATTGGTGCCTCAAATTCCTTAAGACCTCGAAAGGCTTTCAGGGCAGTTTGGCGAGTGTCAAACCGGTCTTGTGGGCAACCTGGATTGCGGGAGAGCCTACAAAAGAGCTCATTGAGCCGTTCGACAAGTCTATAGAGATTCGAAGACTTCCGTGTGGCCGCTGAACAGTTGCGGCGTTGGGTTGGGGCAATCTTTTTGGGAACAAAAGTCGGTGGGAGGCCACGGGTACGTGGCCCCGTGCCCCAGGTAGCACCTTGTTGGCAAAGGGTGTGAATCAAAAAGTCATAGATTACATCCCACTTGTCATTAGGCTCCGTAGCACAGTCATACCTTTCTTCGAACAAACCCCAGCAGGTGGCCTGGTCATCATTCTGGTGGGCCTTTTTGAGTGACTCAACTTGAAATGGTGCACATTTGAGATGAACATACCCAACCAAATCAATTGCAGCCCAATGAAACACAAGCTTGATAGGTCGGTGTTTTTTGCCTGTCGAAGGAACCACTTCGGCAGACTCAAGTGCAAAGAATGCAGTCTGGTTCAACAAAACGGCATCGATCGATGAGGTGGCGTCATCAACACCAGAGAAGGCCCCATCACGTGAAAAGGTCAAAGGCCGCGTCGAGAACCCTTCCATGTCAACACCAGCAGTCGGGTCATGCCAGTTGTGGAAGGTAACAGCATTTGCAATTGAAGCGTAGCTCATGGGTTCAGCCTGCATGTCCCCCGCAATGATAATTGGTATCTGAGATCTGCCCAAATTGGGACACAAAGTCAAAGACCTGTGAAAAGAGGGTCTCATTGCGGCCGTGGATTTGAGGGTCTTGTGAAGCCCCGGCGGCGGCGTAAATAGAAATAACAAGGGCACGGCATTTTGGTCGGACCTGCACCCAGGCAGCATTGAGTCTCTGAGTGCGATACAGGGCAACATAGAGACCAGTATGGTCTGAAGCAGGGTCGAACGGCTGGATGAGGGTTTCCGGGCCGATGATAGCCGTTCCCCCACACGGTGTAATTGACCCAGCTTTGTGCCATTTGACTGGCAGGGGTTCACTAGTGGTGAGTCGGACGCCAAGGGATTTAACATCAAGGCCACAGGATCGAACATTGGCTTTGCCAATACGGGTCTCCTGCAGGCAACACACATCGGCACCCCACGACTTCCAACCCGAATTGGAACGGAAAGACCCGATGTTTGCCGACCAGAGGGACATTAAACCATCAGGCCCCTCGCCCGGGTAACCAAGGGTGTAATCGAACTCGAGGAAATCGAAACGCAGCCGGCCACTGACAGCATTTGTTTTCAGCAGCACAAAACTGCGAGTTGGGAGATTCCAACTCAGTTTGCTAAAGCCTTGCGGCCACAACGGACACAGGTCATGCCACGCTGCCACACAGTGAGTGCAGCATGGCAACCACAACAGGAAACGAGCGAAGGCAAGAGCCCAGCAACGGTATGGCATTAACAGGAGCAAAGATCGAAAAGGGGCACATGTCGTCCCCACGAAGTGAGAGCACTTGCGTCGAAACTTTGAATCCAAAAGGCATGCTCCAGCGGAGAATGCGAACCCCGGGAGAAAGAGTGCTGCGAGACAGAGCTCAAGATGCAACAGGGCAAACCAAGCGGAGAAATCCGAAGCAAAGACCAGGCGGAACCAAAAATCCAAAGTCCAGGAAGTCCAAGGGACAACGAGGCAACGAAGCGAAAAGCTATGCATCAGGAAAGACTGCCCCGCATCAAGGAGTCAGGACCCCTTGCGCTGTTTCGGC